AAAAAGGGTCAGGCTTTTGATCTCTCTGCTTTCCCTCCCACCCCAGTCTACCAGGGCTATGAAAACCCTCCCTGTCAATAGATTTGTCCCATTTTTAAACAAGCTGCAGCAAAATAGGAGGGTTTCCCATTAAAATGCTCTAGTCCCAGCATTTCCAGTTGGCTCCAGTCAGCACCCGCTTGGTGTGGAGATGATGGAGATGCTGGGTTCACAGCAGCATTGCATCGCAGCATTTTAACCCCTGCCAGCCCCTGAGCACGTTCCGTGTGCCTGTACTGCTCCATGATTGCAGCCCTTGGAAGCAGTGGCGCAATCCCTGATCCACACACCATCACTGCATGGGGAAAGGAGGAAAGAGAAATCCTGTCATAGGAGACGTGTTCACACCTGGGAGTAACCACATCTAGCAAATGTCTTCTGGGTCACCAAATCTCTGAGTAGGTGAGAGATGGGATTGATGGATTGCCACCAAAACCTCCTTCCATCCCTAACCAGAGAGCTTTGCTGAACTTTGGGTAATGCTGCCCTAAAAAGGAGCCAAGGGGGAGTTTGCTGATATGGGGTCAGTAACCCCACCACCTCCCAGCAAGGCAACTTTGGCAAAGCATGAAAAAACTCTGCTTTCCTCCTTCTACAGACTTCAAAAATGCCCCTTGTTTGTGCAAAACTCAACTCCACCCTGGCTCTGGGGAATCATTCTGTTGCTACAATTAATGCTACAAAGGTAATAAGGCAAGAGTGGATTTTATCCAAGGTCTGGATTTTCATTAAGCTGCTAAAACCAGCACGTTCTTGGCCAAGTGGGGAAATGGGGAGGTGAAAAGCCAGAAGTGTCTTTTGCAGGGCTCAGGCGAACTCTGCCTGCTGGGGCAGAGCATCCCAAAGCTGTATGCTGGGCAGACGTACAGATCCTGCCCCCTCACGTTTTTTCCCTTTATTCTTCAAATGGTGGGGTTTAATGCTCACGCCTTCATCAAAAAGCAGTGTAGATCAGAGGCAGACGATGGTGCACTCAGCAGGAGCCTGCAGAACCCAGCTATTGCATCACCTCTGTGGTCCCCACAGTTTTGGGAGCCCAATGAAATGCTGTGTTTACAAAAGTACTTGGGTGCTGTTAGTGAAAACAAGCGTAACTGAAGGGTCCTCTGTTGTGTTGGATGCTAAGAGGGACTGGTTGCTGTCTCTTGCTGCAGGACACAGAGAATTATTTTAGAATCTTTATGAAACTGTGTGACATATTTGATGATAGCATCATATACCTACACCAATCTTACACATATGAAGGCAGAATAGTTGACGGGTGTGAAGGATCCATCTTATAATCTCCCCCACCCCATCGTTATTTGTAGAGGTCTGTTTTGACACAAAAAAAGCCCTCAATTTAAAACAACAACAAAAAGATATTTACTGATGGGGTTGTACAGCTCTGAGCTGCAGCCTGTGGGCCAGCGGAGGACTTAGATCCCACAAAACACAAATGTGAGCTAAGCTTCCTGACCTCGTGCAGCTGCTGCGAGAGCAGGTGCTCACGGTGAATAAAGACGTTGCATCTCGACCTGTGCTGTTATACCTTCGTGGGCACAAACCCTCTCCTTCCCCAGCGCAGCCGCCGGCTCCTGCTCGCTGCACTCAGCAGGGCTGTTATCAGATCACAGAGACGTGTTTGCTGCTGCCGCCGCCGCTTTGAAGCAAAACCGATTGCCATCTCGAGCAGCTCGCTCAGCGCCGTTACCCCTTCGAAGGACATCAGCAAGATCTCAGTGAGAAACTGAGATTTTCCACAGCTGGACCAGCAGGTCATTTTTACCCTGATTTCTGTTTTCTGAATCTGTAAAATCTTCCTATAACGGGAACTTCGTATTGTCTGAATATGGTGCATCTCTTGGGTGGCCTTTGCAGGATGCTGGAGGACCCAGCAATTCCCTTAGGCTCTAGGGATCAACCCTACAGTAGGCAGCCACCTGTCTCCAAGGCTTATTTAGTCTAATCACACAGCCAAAGCTGGGGACTGCTCTCAGCCTTTCTGCATGAAATGCATGAGGAGGAACAGCAGAATCAAGAGTGGGTAGGAGCAGAGACTGGCAGCATTCACGGGGGGGAAAAATAAAGTGGAAATGTGCAATGAGCTGTGCAGGATGCAAAGTTGGATGTGTGACACATTGGATTCTCCAACAGGTAACAGAAGGATGGAAAATGTCCTCAAATAAATCCGTATTACTTTAGAGACTTCTCCTTCCAATAAGTTTCTCTTAGTTACTAAACAGGAGACCCACACGGAGAAGATGCTTCTCCACCGAAAGGATGGAGGACCTGCCGGTATCTCTGCAGGACTTGCTGGAGATATCCTGCAGGCACCATGGGATATGCTAGGGGAGAAATCTCTCTTTAACAGGCAATTTCCAGCCTGGTTCCAGATTTTGGTACCCAATGACAGAAGTGGTGCCACAGGACATCATGCACGGTGGTGTGTCCGATGGGGAGAGCCTCACCTCACCATGGAGCTCAAGCACCAACAGCCTCTGCAAACCATCTGAGAGGAGTATTTTATGCCCCAGCAGCGCCTCTTTCACACGTCAACACTCAGCGGCATAAGCAGTGAGAGCAGACCTGAGTCTGATCCAGGGAAGCAAGAAACGCGCGGTAAATAAAGACCAAGCGCTCGCACTGCCCGGTGGCTGCTGTGTGGCACAGGTTTATAGTTAGCAATGCAGTTTGTTTTATTAGTTATAAATAAAGTACAAAAAATCCACCAAAAGTGAATCTAAGCATTTACACAATTTCTAATGTCTCTTCATTTCTTCAATGCGCTATTGCTTTAATATTAATAATAAATATTTTTCTAGCTTTCTTCTATAAAATAGTCTATGTAGCAAAATGTTGCACAGCACAACAGAACAGCAGTAGGAGTACAAAAATGTGGGTGATCCTTTCACCAGCCCCGGTCATTGAAGTAGAGGATTTTTGTTCGCTCGCTCCATGTTTTACTTATCCCTTTTACAGTGTCTTTGCAGGGGGAGTAAAACCACTGACCCCCTGTCCCCCCGCAAGGCTCAAAACTGCAGCTCCAGGCTACAGGGGAGGAGTGTGGCAGAGCAGCAAGGAAAAAAACACAGACAGGTTTTAAACCCAGGGTAAGGCAAAGTCAACATAGCAGAGCAGCACCCTGAAGGGACAGAGAGAAAAAAATTAAGGTAGTCATTTTGTGCCTTTCTAACCCAAAAGAGAATTGCATCCAGAGCCTTTGGGGTGGGGGAGGGGAGGATGGCTACTGGCTGAGCACATGCGTGGAACACCGCTTCTGTCCATACATGGCTGAGCATCTGCGCTAACCGAGAGCGGTTATGGCTTAAAGCTTAAAATACCATCTTGCGAGGCTCGAGATCTTCAGGAGCCTTTTGGGGAGGGGCAGTGCGTTGCGAGAGCGGCGTGGCTGGGATGGGGATGCTTGGCCACCGCTGCAGGAGGAGGACGTCAGCTTGGGGCTCACCCTGGGGAGAGGAGGGCCCCAGTGCAGGTCCAGTGCAGGTCCCAATCTACAGTGGATTAAAAAGCTCCAGGCTGAGGTTTCCTCCTTAACAGGGGGCGATGAAACTAACTGATCCAGAAGATAAGCACTGGGGGCTTATGCTCCATGCGTGTTTCATGGCTGGGTGGTAGCAAAAGCTCACAGCCAGGCATTACAAAGGGGTGCCGAATCGCTCCTGTGTCCATCTCACCCCCTCTCAGCTAGACAAGGGGTCAACCCTTAAAAACTGCAATGAATCCCTCACTTCTATTGCCTCCAAGCTCAGACTCAGTCGACTGCCTCCTTCATCCTCTCCGCAGCACCCAGCTGGATGCGTGCGCAAAGGTTGAGAAGAGCCAGACCGAGTGCCGATAAACACCAAAAATTGGCCAGAGCCACCACGCCTGGGCTCCTTCCTCAGCTTTTGAAGCATTTTGCGGAGTTTTGCATGCAGTGTATGCATTGCCCCAAGCACAGCCTTGTAGGGGGAGCCCGCCGGGTGTTATTGCAGGGTAACACATGCAGCAAGAGCAGTAGCATCACCAGCGGCATGGAGGACGGGGCAAGAATCGGCTGAAACAGTTTGGTTTTGGAAAGCGCTGTTAATTGCCTTCAATGCGCAAGGACGCAAGTGAAAGGATCACCGGAGTTTGATTATGAGTGCAAATAATATTCATACATATGTGCTAAACACAGTCACTATATTGCAGTTTTCCACTATGTCACAGCATACAGAATCAAAGGTTTGCATTTTTATGGAATGTATCCAAGGTAACAGCACCACAGTAATACAGTTTGTAATCACACACCCTGATTTTTTTCTCTTTTTTCTTTTTTTTTTTTGACAAGATAAGCATTACCCCCCACATCCCATGTTTAATTTTTTTTTAAGTACCGATGCATGCAAAGCATTCCATTCCCAGAAACAATGCAAAAATGAGGTAATAGGAGTAATAAAAAAAATTAGTATTAATTTCTAAATAAATAAATTATAATTAAAAATGCAAAAAAAACCAACTATAAAAATAATTAAATAAGAACCCACAATATCTACAAGTTAGTCATAAATTATGATTGTTAAATATAAGGCATTTAAACTCACAAAACCCTGTAAACTATCAATGTTTTGTTCCTAGAGATTTTTTTTTTGTTGTCTGTTTCATTTTGTTTTTAAACTCATCCTATTATCGCAACCTACTCGTACAAATTATTTAAACGCAAAGGAAC